TGTTCTTCTGATCTGCGGCATGAAATATCCCGGAAATGATCATGTGCCTATTTGTCTCAATTTGTTTTCAGTGTGTCTCTGTCTTAAATTTGCTTTATATTACTGCTTTTCAATATTAATATGAAGACAATACAGAGTTTATGGTATGGTATAGTATGGGGTATGGCATTAGTTAGACCTATTTTTAAAATAACTCTCAAGCAACCAGAAACTACATTTATCCGGAATCTACCAATCCCTGTGGATGCCGGATAGCGGGGAGTTTACTGTGTGTGTTTGTATGTATGTATGTATGTATTTTTAAAAATATAAAATCACCTACACCAAGCCCTTATGCAGCATTCTAATGTGTTGTCATACTTCAAAACAATATCATGTTTATAGAGGCAGTTCCTTATTCCATCATAAATAATTGAAGTGAATAGGAACTAACCAATCAGATTGTATTTATTCCTATACACCTCTATTAGACATTCGGCAGGTGGGTGAATATCATGTGTATTGCAATGATTGCAGTGCCCAGCAGCTGGACTTGTATCAAGCAGTGCAAAAAACCGTGTTGATCTGCCAATATCTATAGTTTGCACATACGTCTACTGTATGTGCTCATTTCTTTGCTACATGCTATGATTTTAGATTACCTTGTGAGTTTTACATGGATGTACATGAGTCTGTAGCTGCATTCAGCTATTGCTGAGCATAAATGAACAGTTTCTCATCAGGGTTATATGATCCTAGAACCCATTTACAGGACAATTGTCGACTATAGGTGTTTGCCCTAGCTCAGATCTAAGGCTTCACTAGATGCCTAACCAACGTTGGGTGTTTCATCACATGTTGGGTGTTTTGTGTTGTTTGATGTTTTACAACATATTGGAGGGCTGTAAAAGTGCTTAGTTCAGATATTATACATATTTTTTAGTATTTACAGTGAAAAAATGGGTTTTATCTATGGTAAAACCAGCATGGCCCAACTATTTATTGTTGTATATGCAAATTAGAGTCACCAAAGAGGATTAAAATAAAAAGGTATGGTTTCACATATACTTTACCACTAGTGATGAGGGTGGGCTTGGTGCAAACTCAGTTTGCCTGAGTTCGACCAAGCCCACTCAAAACTCTGGCTGCCATCCCCTCCTCCCGACCCAATCAGTTGTGGAGAAGTGCATTCCCTGCCACCAACGCCACCACAACTATCATCACAGACTAGTGCAGGAGGAGGGGTGGCATTCAGGCAAACCATGTTCGCACCGAGCCCAGTCTTATCTCTATTTAGTACCAGAACCTAGGAGACAGAAAAAGCCAATAGTTCCGTTGCTGACCACCTTTAATCCTGCTCCAGCCCACTGAAATGAATGGCACTTTAAAATGTAAACCTGTGACATCTCGGTCTTTCTATTTTCAGAAGGTGGGCAATCAACAGAGCTTAAAAAGTATGGCAGTTTAGCATATGGCTAATTTGTTGGAAATGTATGCATAAAAAAAGGAAGGACAGCAACTGTGCTCAACAGTGCAAAATGTCTTTTAATATGCAAGTTAAAATGACACTAAACTCAGGAGTTACATTTTAAAAGTGCATTGAAGTACCCCAACTATTACAAAAATGTATCTTATTTGTGTATCACAGATCTGTAGATCCTCAAATCAATCCGGAATTCATGCTGACACTGTCCTTGCTTCTGGAGCTACTGGTGGTTACTTTTGTTCCCCATGGTCCCTGTATGTATTGTAAAGTAGCCACCGCTCTAAGCTCGCTCCCGTGATAGGACTACAATCTGAATACAAATTAGTAAACTAAACATGAGATTGTAGTCCATCATAGGAGCGAGCTTGAAGCTACATTACAACACACACAAGGACCATGAGGAACAAAAGTAGCCACCCTCCAGCAGCAAGGACAATGTCAGCATGAATTTAGAGATGATTTGAGGATCTACAGCCGAGTGATTCACAAATAAGATACATTTTTTTAATAGTTAAGGAACTTGAATGCATTTTTGAGATTTAACTCCTGAGTTTAGTGTTACTTTAAACATTGCTTGTGTAGGTGGGAGAAGATAATAATATAAATAATTTCATTTCAGTGATATAAATGGGAAATACCTGCTGGGAGGCCATCGTTTGCTGTTGGTGGAGGCAATGGTATTTCTGTAGATTTCTGCATGGAAGAGGATAGTGCTGCTGAGCTGGTTTCCCCTTTCTCCTGAACTTCCTCATCATCATCGTCATAATCTCCTGCCAGCAACCGAAGACTGGCAGAATTACCTGTAGTCTGTTTATGAGATGGTTGATCAGTCTTCTCGAAAAAGCCAGCAGGAAGCCTAGGATGAAAAGACAAAGTTCAAGGTTTTCTTTTAGACAAGAAAACCACAAAGTTTTCTGACAAATAGGTGCACTTAGCAGGGAGATCTCAACAAAGTGCCATGTCAGAGCTTTGGTATACCAGAACCTTTGGATAACCTAGTCAATGGTCTGTGTGCTTGAGGGTCAAAAGGCCACATAATCACATAGATGGCATTACCTCTTCTGGACATGGGACCTCTTTAAAGGCATTACCTCTTTCCAGCCACCTTCTGGACATGGGACAGTTTTTTTTCATAATCTGCTAGTCCAACACCGCTTCCATTGATCCCCATTGCTTCCAATACCCCTTCTGCCCCAGTCCGTCAGAAGGCACCACCTAAGACTGCATTCTACCAGTGCCACAAAGACATTTTAACTCAGCAGACCAGCACATGCCTCTGAGCCTGAGGAAACACCCGGAAGCCCCAGGAGAAGTATGCAGTGCACGTGCACTCTCTTTATGGGCTCATTCATACCACAAGCTTTTCCAAACATGTTACAACTGGTAAACCTTGGCAAATGCTTGGATCTGAGCAAATAATTATTTTCTTCTTTCAATAGTTTTTCTATTATTTTTTATTTACCTAACAGATTGCTCCATTCCTGCCAAACAGCATAGATAGATGATTCTTCCGCTGTGGTTATGGTATTCAAACAGTCAGCACCTGTCGCTGTCAGGATACTTGAACAGGGACTGCAGTCGATTAGCTGCAGTCAGTGTTCAGCTGACAATTTTCAGCCCGACTCCTCTGACAAAAGTCCATTCAGTATTCGATTTTTGTGGACCCAGCAGGGCCACCCACTGTAAGGATTTTAGCCGATTCAGTCAACTAGTACCCACTGTCACAAACCATTATAACTAATTTTTACAAAAACTACAACAGTGGCTAACACTTACGTGGATGCTGTAGTTGGAGCCGAAGATTGCTCTTCTGAGTCTAGGGAAAGGCCACAAAAATAAATTAATCTGCAAGTGTTTTGTTTGGTTTTCACCTGTAGTATAGAAACTACCATAAATAAAACAATACTTTAGAATTGCAGTAAACAGAACATTTTATAGGTAATAACTAGTGATATCGGCCGCCAAAACATATCGGCCGAAAATGGCACTTTTGGCTAAATGCCGAAAGTGGCATTTTTCTGCCATACATCGGTGCATTCGTGATTTATTTCCTCCCCGCTGAGCGCTGCTCTGTGTCCCAGCGGGGAGGAGAGAAAGTGACAGCCGGCTGAGCGCTGCGGGACAAAAGCGCTGCGAGCAGCCGGTGTCTCTCCTCTCCGCTCGGCCGCCTATCACAGTGCGGCAGAGCGGTGTGGGGGCGGAGACAGCGCTGTCACAGGAGGCTGGGCTCTCTCAAGGAATTCTTAATTAAAAATAAATATACATTTTCTTTAAAAGTTTATGAAAAACAAAAATAAAATATTTAAAAATAGGATTTTGGTACTCACCGTAAAATCCTTTTCTCTCCGTTCATTGAAGGACACAGGGAACAGATCAGAGATCCTGTACTGTAGGGTAATATCGCCACCTGCAGGAGAAGGACGCTAGGCACAAAACTAAAGACCAATGCATGCGATCGTCGGTCGTCCCGGGGAGACTCCAAGGATCCGGGACATCCAGCCTGTCGCCCGGACAACACTTGCTAGAAGATTCCACTGAAAAAGATCAGGAAGAAGCAGGTAAGAATACCCGAAAAAAATTCTTAGCTCCTTACTCCTGACGCTAGGCAAAAAACTGGAGACTTGTCAGCAGGTGGGGGGTTTTGGCCACCGGCAGGGGCCGCCCCTAGGCTGTGATTGGTCTTTAGTTTTGTGCCTAGCGTCCTTCTCCTGCAGGTGGCGATATTACCCTACAGTACAGGATCTCCGATCTGTTCCCTGTGTCCTTCAATGAACGGGAGAGAAACATTTTTTACAAATAAAAATCTTTTCGGGTTTTGGCCTGACAATTTTTTCTATTTCGGTGGACCTCTAGTAACAACATAATACACTTCAAAGGTTCAAAAGCCTGTTTTATGAATGTTTTTTTTTTTTTTAAATTTTTTAGAGATCACAAAGGAAATATGAAAAAGTCTTTCTGACTGGCTTTCCAGTATAAGATGAGACTTATGGTCAGGGCTTGAAAAATCCATTCGTCTGTGACGAGAGGACGGTGGAGCCCGACGAGCAGCTTCCCGGCCGCTTTACAGTCAAGCGATCGA